CCAGCCTGTCCAGATCCCTCTGCAGGGGATTCTCCTTCCATACTTTAGGTAACACAAAGCCAGTGTTTCAGAAAAAATAATTTAGCACAGAGTGTTTTTGGTTTGGTGGTGGTGTTTGGTGTTGAGTAGGGGAAAACAGGCATAGATTTCAGATGTTTGCATGTGTTACTAATGTTGTCATTCTCTGGATTGACTTGATGTCTGTCAGTTTGTAGTTGCCAAAGTTAACAGTATCATTTGCTCTAAACTGAGCAATTTTACTGATGCTGCTTTTCTCTTTGGCTCATATCTTAGAAAATTTGCTAGTCTATCCTTTTTTTACAGCTACCCTTTCATTTGGCACTGCTTTCTTTGTTCTTTTACACCTTAATCTTCCTTCCTCCACCGGCTGTCTTACACTCTATGAGGAGGTCCTTAATACTGCCTAACAGCAAAAGCATGACTGAACTGCAAAGAGCTAATCCCCTTTTTATTCAAAGGAGTTGTTGACTTGGTTGCTAGTTGCCGCTGTCCAGGAGGCTAAGAAAATAAAAGAACTTAAATATTTATGCAGCGTAAACAGACTTTAGCTGGGGATTAGTAACATGTAAGGTCTCTAGCCTGACTGTACTGGGAAGAGTGGCCTGTAAAAGGAGAGTCCGACAGAAGTAAAAAGCCTCTTATCAGTTCTACTGACACATATTCACTAGTGTGAATATCCCCAAGTGTCAGGTCCAGAAGAAAGTCTCTGTCTAAATGTTTCTGTGATGGAGCATCTGAACTACAACGTGAACTAGCATGCCTAGGTCCTTACCATTTGAACTGCATGGGTTAGTCAGACTTGAAAATCTGAGATCAGTAAGCTGTTCTCCTAAGGAAGGTGTTTTCAGTTTGTGAAAGCTTCAATGGCTTGTGCAGCTAACTTCAATGCTTGCTTGGTTAAAAAAAAAACTTCTGCAAGTGGAGACTGCTTGATTATTACTGTCATATACTTTGGCTAAGTACTTCCTGCTATTCATTTAATGTCTTACTCTCTCCTTCTTATCCCTCTTAAGTTTTCAAAAAGGACACTGAGATTAACTTGCTCTGGTATGGTGCTGTCATTTAGAATACTCACCACTGAGTAGCATTGTCAAGCTTGTTGTTTGCTGTAGGAGACGTATACCCTGAAAGTTCTTCTGAAGCAAGTAACACTGGACTGAAAAAAAAATCGCAAAATTATAATATTTAAATGAATATCTGGGTTTCTTTTTCAATTCCAGATTTTTGGCTGACCTAAAGCTTGGTCAAAAACTGACTTTGCTGGAAATTAACTTTTGAGAGAAGTTGTCAAATTATTTGAACAGAGAGATGACAACCATCAGTTGCTTATCTCTGTTCTGTGGAACGGTGTGTAAAGGTGACTTGTAAGCTTATTTGCAGAGTACTGTAAATGTACGATGAAGCTAGTAATAGAGTAGTATGTGAAGAAGGGGCAGAGATTCTAGCCTGAGCTCTTATCTAAGTTTTTTAAGCTAGTAGCACTTGATATCTTCTGTAGAAAAATTGCCTCTGAGTAAATTGGCAGACTGCTCTTCATGAGACCAATTGCTCAGAAATTCAATTACTTTGATTCCCTGTGTTGGCAGTGAGAAATTAGACTGTCACTGTAAAAGAATCCAGAGAAGACAAATGAAGCAATATTTGTTTCTAGTCACTTTTGTATATAAAAACTTTTAAAATTGCCATACTCAGGGAGAAAATAGACCTATTTTTACAGCTGTGGAATGGAAACAACAAAATGATTTCTCTGTGTCTAAGGTTCCTATTTCTTGCTTCTTTTTGTGTAATAGTTTTTCATGGTGATGTGTATTGTATACGTATTCTTTGGGGTTCTATGGCTTGCGTGGTCAGCCTGTTACTGGCGGGATCTCCTGAGAATCCAGTTCTGGATTGGTGCCGTTATCTTCCTGGGAATGCTGGAGAAAGCAGTTTTCTACGCAGAGTTCCAGAATATCCGCTACACAGGGGAATCTGGTAGGTAGCCATAGCAGCTTGCAGTCTAATTGATGGGGCATAGCACTAGCGGCTTATGCTAAATTGGGGTGACAGATGCATATTAAGTATATAATTACTTGAGGATTGTTTCAAACCAAAGAACAGGGAACAAGAGTTTCTGCATTTTTTTAATATATTGTAAATATGATGATCTGTGCTTTTCTAAAGATAAAATGCTATTGCTTTCTCTGACTCGTGAGTATAGTGTCCTATAAAATGCTAGATTCTGGAGAGTATTCATGGTAGTCCTAGCTTGAAGTTTAAAATAGGACTTCCTAAGTGTGGCTTGTAATTAATTTCTGACAATTGGTATTGGCCTTGGAAAGAGACTTTGAAACTCCTTGTTCAACATGACAGGATTGCAGATGACTTTTGGTATTCAGCCCATAGCCTGATAATCAATCTTAAGCAATTCTCTCCACACAAAACTTTGTGACTCTGGTTTTGAGTTTTTTAGGATGGATGCTTACACATGAAACTCTGCAAGTAAAACTTCATTATGGCTTTGTTAATTGGCCACACCCATAGTATAGAGGGTTTTGTTGGTTGACTTGTTCAGAAGATGATCCAGGCTGATCTGATGGATAAACATTTTATGGATCATTTAGTCTCCACTTTCTGTGTATGTACAATTTCTCAGTAGCTTTTTTTATGTTGTGAGCTATTGTTTCTGAAAGCTTAGTCCAGAGATAGGTAAAAAAAAGATTATATGCTTTAATAGCCTACTTTCTGGAAATAATTATGTCTGCTCTCATGCTGCAATTACATGCACTAGTTAATAAAACAGAAATTATATTTCAATAACCTAGCTTCCTCCTCTATGCTTTTGGTAGTTCAAGGAGCAGTAATACTAGCAGAACTGCTTTCAGCTGTGAAGCGCTCATTGGCTCGAACTCTGGTCATCATAGTCAGCCTGGGATATGGGATAGTCAAGTGAGTAATTCTGTTACATGTTTGCTGTGTTCTATTAAAAAGCTTTTCAGCATTGGTTTTGAATAACTTAAGGAAGTATTCATCTCCCTGTACTTTGGTACTTAAAAGGTAGGTGCTTTAGTTAAATGCTGTAAAGGTCTAGACTTCTTCACTAGTCAACAGAGATGTGCAATTCCATATGATGATTACTCTTCTTCCCACCCCATTCCATGTACCACTGTTGGGTAGGTTTCTGAGTCACTGTTGAGATACTCCACTGACTGGAATGGGAGCTTTATATGCCTGCCTTCTGGGCATGGAGGAGCTTCTAGAAATGGGGGAGGTCAAGAATCACTGATGGGGGAGGGGATCTGCTTTAGGAGTCTTCTGCTGCCAAGATTGGTGCTCATCTGTCTGTCCCCAGCTGTATTCAATGGTAAAACAACATTCTGTGTTGCAGTGGAAGCTTCTAGCAAGTGTGGGTGTGCTGGGGGAACTGGTGAAGAAGGGGTGGGCTGAGACTTCTTGAAATGTTCGTAAAAAGCTAAACAGGTTAACTAGAAAACAGGACTGCTGTCAATCTCTTCCTTAGTCACATTATACCATAAGACAAAATTAATAGTAAGCTTTGAGTACCATAATAAAATCTGTGGATCCAGAAGTGACTTGTCACAAGGACCTTTTATTCACATGCTTCATGCTTTACATTGGACTCATGTTGATGTGACTTCACTTTTTTTTCCCCCCACTTAATCTAAATTTCACTTTATTTTCCTGCAGGCCTCGCCTTGGAGTTACTCTTCACAAAGTAGTTATGGCTGGAGCCCTTTATCTACTATTTTCTGGCATGGAAGGTGTTCTTAGAGTCACAGGGGTCAGTAATAACTTCTTGAATTTTCCCATAGGCCACAGATACTACTGGCTTTATTTACTTATAAGCTAAGGGAGAATCTGAGGGCTGTGCTGAAAGAAAGGAAGGGAACAAAGATGATGAAGTGGATATGGAACTGTGGATATGGATTATTGACAGTTATTTTAAGTTTGATGTCTTTATCAGGATGTAATTCTGTGTATTTTGAAATAAGTTTAATATTTTTCTGACTAGTCAGGTTTCAGAGACTGTGTCCTGCCTGAACCCTTGTGTCTAATAGTTCAGATTAGGTAAGGCTTGTTGCAGTCACAAATGTACAGCTTGGGTCACTGGTCCATGAGTCAAAAAAAAAAAAAAAAACAAACAAAAAAACCAACCCCAAAAAACCCCAACAAAACAAAACCCCCAAACAACAAACAAACAAAAAAACCCAAACCCCAACCAACAAACCAAAAAAACCCACAACAAAACCAACACAGAACCCCCCCAAAGCACCATCACTCCAATTTTGGAGGGTGTACCTGGGGAAGTACATGTGAGTGGTGCTGCTGCTTGCTTCATTAAGTGCATCTCGGGATTTAGATTTCTGTTGTTCTGTTCTTGGTATTTTGGGGTAAGGTATTTAACATGTTATATATTTGGTACTTTTTCAGTTTTTCTATGACACTGTGGCTCTGATAGCAAACTTGGCCCTGTCCATGATTGATGCCTGTATTATTTTGTGGATATCCTTTCATAAACTGCAGAATGCTACAAGTTATTCACAGCTTAATATTTCTGTCTTATACTTAAAAGGAATAAAAGATTATTTGTTTGTTTCAGTTGGGACTTTGATAGTTTTTGATACACACACAAAGGTAATTTTTGCCACTTTCAGTCAAACTTGTGGTTGCCAGTGGAGCATTCAGTTCATCCATGAATGAAAGATTTAATTACTACATTTCTAACAAGCTGATTACTAGTTTTCTGTATTGGAAGTGGCCAGAGCACATTGTCGCAGCAATTGCCTCAGCAGAGGCTTCTCTTAACAGTGCTAGGTTGACCTACTCTGGAAAACTACTTGCTGGTGGAGAACTGAGAACTGACAATGTGATATTGTCAGTTCCCCTCTGTGCATTGGGCCAAGCTCTTGGTTCAAGCCCTCTGCTTCTGTAGTAAAACTCAGAAGCATTGTGGCAGAGTATTTGTGGTTTCTCATCAAATAGCCTGACCCTTCTCCCTTCTTCTGTACCTTGTTTCCTTTTCAGTTTGTTCTTATTGGCTCTCTCTTTGTCTCCAGGCCCAGAATGATCTTGCCTCCTTGGCTTTTATTCCCCTGGCTTTCCTAGATACTGCCCTGTGCTGGTGGATATCCTTCACTATTTTACTTGGTGGGGTGTGTTTTCTTTCAGATTTGTTTTTTGGGAGTCTCTCTGGCTGACTACTTTTTAAAATCAGCTTCAAGTTTATGTTCTTTCTACTTCTGGCCAGTGCAAGGAAAACTAGGTAGCCAGTAGATATCTGTGTTAACTAGTCTCTGTTCAGGAGCTGCTCTAAGTCTATCTGTTATCAGTCTCTGATTGTTGAAGTATGAAATTAATTTGTTCTAGTGTAGCACTGTAACAATACCATAGTAGTAGCCTTTGGAAAACAGACTCAGTTTAGGTTTTGGGGAGAAGGTTTCTTGGGAACATCAAACCTAAAATTCGTTGTGTAAAATTTGAGCTCATCTTGAAGTAGTTAGGTGATAAAATGGGGCAGTGTTAACTTTTTGGTGTGTTGAGATATTACATCCGAACAACCATAACCTTGTGTGACTTCAGCAACTGCTTTCAGATGCTGAACTCAAAACCATGTATAGAAAAATCCCTATAAAGTGTTTTTAGCAAAAGTCAATCACAAAACTCTATTTAAAATGTGAATAGCTTGCTGCCCAGCCATGACAACCCCAGTTCTCTCCTATCGTGATGTCTCTTAAGCACTTGTTTTGTCACTATGGAAATAAAATTGTAGGCAAAAGGGTGAAGACGTGTATGCACTGTCTAATTGGATTTTAACTCACTTCTAGTTCAGACTTGATTTTCCATTTATCAGAAATACATCTGACACTTTTCTGGAGGAATGGGCTATAGTCCAAAATAAATACTTGGATACCATCTTTGAGTGACAAGAGTTCTAGGTTTAGATGACTAGATAACATGAAAGGGATGCATCCTGCTCCTTTGCCATAGGATGAACTTTTCTTCTACTGAGTCTTATCTACCTTTTAGAGGGCTAAGTGTGTGGGTGGGAGAGCTGTTATCATAAGATATGTATCCTTCCAAGTCTGTGACCAGATTGTCCATCAGAGGCTTTCCTTGACTTACCATACATATTCATCAGCTTAACTCAAACAATGAAACTGCTAAAACTTCGAAGGAATGTTGTGAAACTCTCTTTATATCGGCACTTCACCAACACACTCATTTTGGCAGTAGCAGGTAAGCAGAAAATTACACTAAGCAAATAAGAGCACTTGCCATTTCCATATATGGCTTGATCACTAAAGCAGATTTTTCAGTTTGACTTTTCTGTAAATGCAAAGTACTTAGTATTTCTAATACTTGACCCATTTCTAATAGTGGGTCTGTGCCAAGTGTTATGGTGGTACTTCAGAGGCAGTGGACCATTAGTCCTGATCTTAATAAGATCAGTAGCTCTGTGCAGCTCCTCTAACAGAGCACTTTTGTCCCTCTTAAAGCTGTTGCGGGCAAAAGTTTATTATCCTATGCTGTGATCTTCACAGAGGTAGTTTTGTTGCCAAAATCACAGTATCACTGTATACTATAAAATTTTTAATATGTCTGAAGACCAGATAGCTGAACACCAGAGTGATTCTTGGAAAAACAGTATTCTTAGTAGTGTAACATATGATGCCTTCTGTATTCTTGAAGAATACAGATTCAGATTCTCTTTCCATTTTTCCATTCCTTTTAATCAACAGCTCTGATTAAATTCCTTGCAGCATCTGGTTCTTAGTCGTCATAGAACACCTTAGCGGAGGGAGGTCTCATCTTCTAAAACTGTGGTGAGAGCAGTTTGAGCATTGGAACTCTTACGGGTCAAGATCTGAATGCTTAGGCATTCAGGCAGATCAGATGGTTCATTTACTTCAGGGTAGGCTTTATTTGTCAACTGATAATGAAACCATGGTTTGGAGACTAGGTGGAAGTAATATAAGAATAGTGAATAGGGATGAGGAGTTTGGCCAAATACTTGATTTATGCCTTGTGTCTTTGAAGAACCAAGAACAAAATATACTGGTCTGTGCCTAAGCTGCCGTATAAGATCAGTGCAATAAATGAATCTCTTGTTTTCCAAAACTAATAAATTGGATTCTAAGAATTCACTATTTAGGTCTTTGCCCTTTGTTTGGGAAACACAGTCCTGTTAAAATATGCTAATCCAAAGATATTATTTTGTTTGTTTTAATCTTGCAGCATCTATTGTCTTTATCATCTGGACCACCATGAAGTTCAGGCTGGTGGACTGTCAGTCGGTGAGTTTATATTGAATGCTGTCTGCAATTGCTGCCTCTTGATAAGTTTACATTTGTCAGTGTAAGAGGTGAGATTGGGCATTGTGGAACAGATTTTTCTGTGGATTATGTATAGAGTAATATACCACATGCTAAAATTCTCACTGTTATGGGAAACAAGCCTCTTTGTCAGATGCCTATAGTTCACCCCTGGAAAGAGCTGAGGACATGAAGTCTCTTGCTTCACAACTTCTTCTATTTGTGCTGCTGTTTTCCTTGACAGGATTGGCAGGAGCTATGGGTGGATGATGCCATCTGGCGTTTATTGTTTTCCATGATCCTTTTTGTCATCATGATTCTGTGGAGACCATCTGCTAACAACCAAAGGTTCAGCTTTTCTTACCTCTTTCTAAAAATACTGGGATTTGTGAATGCTTATTTATCGAAAGAAGTACTGGTGGGTGATTTATAGTTGCTGTATACTGATCCGTAAGGATACTAAGCAGGGGTGGGACACGGACAGACTTGACGAAAAGTTAAGTGTAGGAAGTCACATAGATAAAACTTAGTCTGTTCCTGGGGGTCAACTTATGGAGAAAGAAGTGACTTAAACTTTTGATTATGTATTTTAGCATAGGTCTTAAACACTGAATTGCACAGAATAATCAAGTCATGTGAATGTTGAGGTGATGAATCTCTTGGGTGGCAAGAGATATTCTTCTAAGATAGCTTTCATTCTTTCCTTCCTAAAGGTTTGCTTTCTCACCACTGTCTGAAGAGGAGGATGATGATGAGCAGAAAGAGCCAATGTTAAAGGAAAGCTTTGGTAAGAGAAAAACTTCTGTCCCCACCTAATTTCAGTGTTGAAGAGACGCTTATGTGGAGGGAGGTCTCTTGTCCTCTGGCAAAAAGTTCATTACTGCTGCAAAAGCAGAGTCGATGCCTCCCTGTTGCCATTGATTTATACAGTTTTAGAGGAAACATTGGCTTTGTTTAGTGTTTACATTGGATGTTTAATTCTGAGGTTTTTAGATGACACTGAACACACTGGTACTGTTGTGGTTGCTTTACTGTGTCCACTGGACTTTGTTTGATCAAATATGTCAAGTCATAGGTTTGGATCCAGTCATGATGATGGATATCCAAGGATCTCTCGGATGTTGTTGCTAGGCAGTGGTTTTGTTTGTAGTTCCCTCTTATAAATCCAGTTTAAGGATTTTCATTTATTATCTGTTCTCTGAACTCAGCAATCTAGGAATTGTCTGGTGTAAACATATAGATGAATATGTTTACATATTCATGAAATTACATATGAATGAGAGTCCTGCTTTATAACACTAGATTGCATCTTTCTCTCCACTCACTCCACTCCTACTATGAAACCTTCTCTCTTTCCTGCCTCCCATCTCCCTTCCTTCTATGTCTTTTGTCCTTGTAACACTATTGTTTATAAGTTGTGTAAAAAGTAGGGTGACATACGCACTGCCACTGTCTCTCCATAAATCAGTTCTGCTGGGATGTATCAGTACTGTTTCAGTTGTTTAGGAGCTGAGGAGGAGTGTGTAATACTTTAAGTGCATTTGCCAAATCAGCTACATCTGGCTGCCGGGCTGGGAGATTCATGTTGCCTCTCAGCTCTTAGGTCAACCAAGTGGAGGGTCAGTAGGTAAAATAAATTTGGGGAGTTGCATATGTCTTAGAATGGTTGAGGTTGGAAGGGTCCTCTGGTGGTCATACTGTCCAAACACCCTATTCAAGCAGGGTCACCTAAAACAGGTTGCCCAGGACCGTGTCTAGATGGCTCTTGAGTACAAGGATTCCACAGCCTCTCTGGGCAACTATGTCTCTGAGTTCTATGCTACTTATGTCTGGCTTAAATAAAAGGACTAGAAATTGATATTTCACGGGTAAAATTGCAAAATTCAGGAAAACTAGGTACTCCATCTGTCAAGCCTTTCAAAGGGAAAACATCATCTTAATGAATAACTTGTCTGTTTTACTCTGTCTCTTTGGATTTGATTAAATATTCTGAATGAACACTCAACACCCTCACTTAGCAGTCTATGAACAATTATAGTTCAGTTATCCCAATCTTTTTTCCTTCTTTTGTCTTCAGAGGGAATGAAAATGAGAAGTACAAAGCAAGAACCAAATGGGAATGTAAAAGCAAACAAAGCTGTGAGTATGCCCTCCCTACCTCAAAAGGTACAGATCCATCTCTCTTGTTTAGTTGCCACCCTGTAGTAGCTTAGAAATATGCGAAGTGTTCAGCCTATAAATGTCAGTGGCTTTTGCTGGTTTGCTGCAGAGTGGGAGTGAATCAAAGCATCATATGTTTACAGTATTTGTGAAAAGAGTGTAAATACAGGTTTTTCAAATAATTTTCTGTAAGTTCAATGGAAGCTTTAGAATTCAGTCAGTTCTTTAGGAATGTTTGCACAATCCAGTATCGATAGAACTGTATAATACTCTATTTTGATAGTGAAGAATATATTATTTTAACAAGTTTGTCAGGCTGAGAGGGAGGCTGAGCCATATTTTAAATAAATTAATGCTCTTCTGATTTTGAGATTTGTGATTCAGTACTCAAGTGGCATGATGTGTATATTATGTAACTACCTAAATAGTTTGGGTGGAACATTTTTAATATATTTGCTTTTTTTTTCCATGTGGCTTATAAGGAGAGGTGGTTTCACCTCTCCTTGAGCTCGGAGGTAGAAAATATGTCTCAGAATCTTTTCATGGAATTCATGCATAAATGTAAAAGTTGAAAGAACCTCTAAGAGTTAATGATAATAGCAGTAATTTTTTTGTTGTTAACATTGTTTTTCTCAAATGTTGGTTGCAACTGTGTACTACTTACCTGAGGATAACACAAAAGTCAAACTTTTCTAGTTCGGGGATGGGAGGATCCAAAAGGGTCAATTCTCTAACTTCAAAACAAGTGTGCTTTTGTTGTGATTGAGAGTGTTTGTCAGATAGAAATGAGAAATCGTGACAATGCAGTTTAACTTACCTCTGCAAAATCCAGCTTGTGCTTTTGATAATAATTTTTCATATATAACATTTTCTACAGATAATGTTCTTCTGTGGGAGACTAAACTAGATTATGTCAATAACCAAAGTGTTCTGAGGGCCTGCTTTTCCTAGTCACCATTAGACTATTAGAGAGTTGACAGTAAGTTATAGGTGCGGTTTTGTTTTTTTCTTTTTTCTTGGAATGTGTTTTCTGTAATCCAGAAATCAAATTGAATTTTTTTTAACTGACATTAGAAATACATTGTTTTTTGTCAAGTAGGCTGAGAAGAAAAGGCTTTTATGAGACAGCATTTTGCAAAAACTGACTTTTGTTTCCCATTTAATTTCTGTACTTGTAGCAGGAGGATGACTTGAAGTGGGTAGAGGAGAATGTTCCTTCATCAGTGACAGATGTGTGAGTATTTTTATAGTCGCAATAAAAGCAAGTTCCTTGGACGCAGGAACACAAATACATTAGAATGGCTTATAACTTGTTTGCTGCCTTTTCATGAGCAGATACTGAGTTCAGCCTGGAAATTGGTCTCTGCCACCTTAGCATGCTTCCAGTTGGCTTTATGTGGTCTGTCAGACTTACTATTCATGCCACTTAAACACATGCTGACTTAAGGAACACCATCTCAGACTGTGAAACCACAGACTGATTTCTTTGCACTTCACTGAAGTCTAAATAAATAAATAAATCCAGAAAACAAAGAACAAACCAACCTTCTCTTTCTGTTTAGAGCTCTGAAAAGTCCTTTCAGTATATTGCTGAATTTAAATAACTGAATAATGTCATTTAGTTCTCCACTTTATTTGGAATGTCTGAGTCATTTTTATGCTTCTGGCAATATAATCAGCTATGTAGGCAATCCGCATCTATTCTGCTTTTAGTAACTTTTACATCCCGATAATGTCAGTGTCTAAATTTTTGATAGCAAAACAGTTCGTAGATTAATTATGTTTGCAAATCTGAACAGGTAATTTTGGCAGAGGCTCGGGATTTAAGTACAAAACTCTGCTTGCAGTTAGTTAAGGGGAGAAACCAGGTGAAGCTTCAAGAGGATGAAAAAGTGCATTTTCTCAATTGAATTTGTTTTTCTCAGTTCTAGTACTTATTTTTTGCAGAACCTAGGATTCCTTAAGAAAACAAGGACTAGACTGGTGTAAGCTAGGAAATAGCACTTTGGGGTAGTCTGCAGGGTTCTCTGTCCTTGAAAGTATGTTGATTGGGGTTCTGAAGAGATCCTAATAGATAGATGGAAGCTCTATTGAAAAGGCTATGGTACCAGTGTAACTTGTAAAAGCGCGTCCCAGAAATCGAACAGTATGGTCCCATATTGTAAACGTCTTCAGTGGAGTTCAGCAGTGTTCCTATATAAATGAAGCAGCCTATTTCAATGCAGCTGGAAATTGCTCAGTTGGTAATGAGAAACTTAGAGAAAAAGAATTTTAAAACTGAATGTCATTGAGGATACTCCTTGAGTTCTTACTCTTTTGTGTGTCTTTCTCTGATTTCTGTTTAATTGAAAGGTCTATTTTCATTATTGCTTTCCTGTGCCCTAAAAAGCTTAAGGTGAAACATAAGATTGAAAATGCTTATCAATAATATGCTCTCAGTAGGTATTCTAATTCTCTTAACTATTTTTTTTTTCTCCCCTGCAGTGCTCTTCCAGCTCTTCTGGATTCAGATGAGGTCAGTAAACCAATCTTCAGCTCAAATTAGTCTTCTGACATGCCAAAGGAGTCATGAGTCAGCTGTTAAGGACCTGGCTTATTAGAACTGAATTCTCTGATCTTGCCACTGCAACAGTAAAATACTACAAGGTGGGGGAAGGATAGTGGGGACAACCATCATACAACTTAGAATGCAGATGTGTCTTCTAAAAAAAAGTAGTATATCTGCTGTGTAAGTTGGACTCCTGACTTAAAATGCATATAGGTGTGCATTTGTTGTGAATGTGCAAAGCATACCACCTTATTTCTGAATAATGTAAACCTATTGGGGAAAATGACAACATCGGGCATTTTATTTTCCAGGAAAGAATGATTACACACTTTGAAAGGTCCAAAATGGAATGAAGGAGTAGCTTTTTGCTATTGGAAGTGGAGATGCCTCTTTTAAAGTTGCTTGGTGGAGCAAGTGCATCCTGCTGATTTGTTTCTTGGTCTCAGCCTTGGAAGTTTGATGCTTTATTGTCCTGAGGGCGTCTCACTGTGGAAGAAGTTCACAAGGACATTATAAACCTTTTGGAAATTTGAATTTACAAAGTTGCTGCAAGTTTGGATTTTTAAGCAATTTAAATGTGTACTATTCCAGCACCTTCTGTAACTTTTCAAATATTTAATCTGTGAAACTAAACTTCCTAATGTCTGCTTGAGGAGTTTATATTTCAATGTTACAATTGACACTTAGAGGTGAACTTGCCTGTACCTTTTTTGGGGGGAGGGTGGGGACAGCTAGAAATAAGCACTGAAGAAACAACAGACCTGTTTTCTGGTCAACAATGGCTTACTGCTCTTGTATGTCGTATGTCCAACATGAATGAGAAGTTTTTAGAGAGAAGCTCCTGTTAATGAAGAAAATTAAGATGCCAGAAGGGAAATATTTGGAAAAGTTACAGTGATATGAGTTTTTAACAAAATCAAGTGCAATTTTATTCATAACACTGTGTAAGAAAGATTTTTCTATTTTAAATGCCATTGACCTATAGGTAACAGCTGCACAGAGCTAACACTTGCTGTTGTGGCACATCTCATTGCCGGCAATGTGGTGGATGCCTGGAAAAATTATTTGCCCTTACCTTCCATGTGCTGCATGATTTAATTTAGAAGAGAAAAAAAAAAAACACACAAAAGCTAACATCACCAAACCCACTCCTGCAGTGCTCTTCCGCAAGTGCTTGACTATTCATGTTAAGCAGATATTAACTAGACATTTCAACAGAACTCTTCTCCCTGCATATCTAACATCTCCCACTGAGAAGTCAGCACTCTTCTGTGAGAAGATGGCATTGCTTTCTAGAGGGTGCAAGCACTGCTTACCTTACTTGAAAGAGGCTTTGATGGGAGTACACTGTGCTAGGATAGTTCTGTTCCCAGTGTCTGTTTAGAATTGCCTCCCATGCAAATAATTTGATGATGGGCTTTCCTGTCCCAATTGGTCCCTGTGGCCAAGAGGTACTCTGAGATCACTGTGCTTCAGTCAAAGTTGTAGATTTCTGTTCTATATAATTTTCTCCTTTTTTGTTTCTCCTTTTCAAATGAAAAAGAGCTTTTGGGCAGTGTTCTGGTTTTATTCTATGCTTGGCTGTAGAGGCTTCACTTGCAATAACTTACACATGGAAACCCACTATGGACTGTATCACAAAAGCTCTAATTTAGGTTCATAACCTTTACAACTGATAATTACCAGGCAAGCAGCAGCATGGCTGGACTTCTAGGGAGCTGATGCAGCTGCTGCTGGAATGGCAGAGGGAGTCAGCTTTTCTGGTTCTTCACTCATAGCTATGTCTGCAGAAGTGAACATCTGCCTGTACTTCATTCATTCTGCTGTAAGGTCTGGTAGTTTAGCTCTAGTCCATCTTTATCAGCAATTTATGCTGAAACATGGCACTTTACAGTAGAGTAGCTGTGGCACAAGTGCATAGTATCTTCTGCTAGCTGTGCCGTGGGGGCAGCAAACCCTCAGTGAATGGGCAGAGAAAAAAAAAACGTGGCTGTAACACCTCAGTCTGCCTCTGCAAGAGTCGCTGGAGCTCTTCTGCCATCCCCTTTAGGCCACAGGTAGAATCTTTAATTAGAAAACACTTTGACTTCTAATTTGCTATGCTTAATTGATATAGATGAAACAAACATTACCTCCATGTCCTTTTGGGGAGAGGAAATTTTGTGAAATAAAGCTCCATGAAACTTGCTATTTAATTTTTTTTTTGGTTGGTTGTTTTTTAAAGTCCAGTTGTTTTGGATTGTTTGTGTTTTTTTGAGACAAATAGGGGAAAAATGTTCTCTACTGGAAGCACAAAAGAAGTTTGTATGTACTATTTAATAAAAGCTAGGCAAAGAGTAGAAAGGCTTACATTGTGTCCTTCCACTTACTTACTACCTGTTCTCTCCAATGAGAAAGTGTTAACCTCTTCACAAAGCCCCTTCAACTTTTCTTTCACTCTTTACTGCATGGTATTTATAATGCAGTTATTCCTGATTAACCCTTTTTTCTCTTGTTAACCTTGACAATAGAGGAAGTCTGCCATTTGAGAATTTAACATAGATAGGGCAAATCATAAATTTCTGAACAAAAGTGAAAGATCTAAACAGTTTCCCTAATTGCATTAATAGATTAATAATTTAAAGGCTAAAGTAAATGTAGTAGGAGTATGGTGCTTTCAGACTACAGCTACATGAGGTTTGAGAAGTCCTCTCTGCCTTCAACCCTTCCATCCCTGTAGTAATTTCCATCAGCACCTGAAGTTGTCCTAAGTTCTACAGGGGACTTGTTGCTCCCCTTGTTAGCTATTCTTGTTTTTCCACTCATTTGGCAGAGTCTCTGTGTCCTTGGAAGGTAGCATGTGCTGCCTAGCATGCAGCTGGCGTGTGCTGTGACTTCCCTGTTTGCAGTCTTAGGGAGAACTTGTATCTGAGTCTGGTTCCCACAGGCTATGGCACACGCACAACTGCTACCATAATTATGATTGCAGAAGAGGTGGCTAAAAGCAGCAGATGAGATGTGGGTGAGGTGTGAAGGGTATGTGTGCAAGGGAGTTTCAGCAATGTGGCCTTTCCCCCAACAGCATATTCGGTCAAATGTTCTACTAAGTAGATGTTCTACTAAGGAGATCTTTGCCTCTCACGATTCCTGGTTTTGCTCCTAAAGACGTGTGGCTCCATGACGTGTCAGGAAAACTTCATCAGCTTGCTAGAATGCATGAAACTAGAAACCCTGCAGGACTGTTACCTTTATGCAGACAGGGAAGACTAAATTCAAATTTATATCCATTTTTTCAAAACTGGTATTGTAATTTTAAAACAAAGCGTACAGACTATGCCAAAGACTTGGTGAGCAGGAGAGAGGAAGCATGTCTACCCTTATGTCTGAGATCTGCCTAAGTTTTTAGTGACAAGAATGGTGTGTTGAAGCTGAATTTTCTTTAGGAAGTTTGGCTGCTGACTTCAAATACCTTCACTAAGCTGTTCCTAATTGAGATAATGCTCTACTTGCAGAAAAAATAAATGTCTGGCAGGAATTCAAATATGGAGGGAGTTTTTTAGACTTCTTATGCCTGATTACTGTGTGAGTGGATTTGTGTGTTTATTTGTGAGAATTGGCTGTGATATTACTGATGCAATTGTTGTAACATGTGCATGCCATGCAGAAAACTGAAAACCAAGTAATAGCGAAGAGGATGATTTTCATTAGGGTGACAAGGTGTTTCCGGCTAGTAGCTCCGAAGGAGGGATTGGGTAGTGAGAGATCACATGTCATGGTAAAGAAATGCAACAGGCTTGATAGGAACGGAATGAGTCAGGATCAGAAGACCTGGGGTAGGGAAGTGTACGACTGTCGTATTCCGCAGATGTAGGGGTGTGTGACTTTGTGGGTTTATTTTTATCCTTCTCTTGGCTTTATATGGCATTTCATATTGTATGTTAAAGTATGTTACTTCTCTTTTTAAAACCTGAAGAGGCCAGTGCCTGGCACATAATTTGCACTCTGGTAAAAATGGATTACAGCCATTTGCATGTGAAGTCATTATTACCCAGTGTTGCTGAAACTTACATTTCCTTTCACTAAATTGGTGCGATGTCCCTCTTCCTTTTGTGGGAACCTCAAGGAGACCAGATACATACCTGAGCCATAACTCCTTTGGCAATTTGTGGTTCTGGTATCTGTGAAGGAGATGTGATTTAGCATGGTTTCGTGGTTTAGCAAGGTTTCATTGCTGAGCAGGAAAGAAGTTGGATGCAAGAGTACCATGGTTGTTCTCCCGTTCCTGTGCTTCGATCTCCCAGCACAGAGTGTCCTCAGTCCCTGTTTTCTAAAACAGTGGTCTTTGTTGGTGAAGGTACTCAGAGAACTTAGCACCCTGTGCTTTTTTAGTTTGGTTTAGTTGGTTTAGCTTCCAGGTCGGTGGTGGTGAGTGTTGCCCCTCTCCACAGCCAATGTAAATGCCACCATGGCCTGTTCTGGAAGGGACAAGGTAACAAATACTAAGATTTCCTCCTGGAGATTGAAATTCACTGGCCGAGGCTGTAGGGTAGGTTCACTGAAGTAGTTAGAACCTCCAAAAATAGACATTTACTTGCAAGAGATGGATGTTTTGCTGTTCTCATCTGGTTTCCTTAGGTTACGCAGGTCAATTTTTGTTGTATACAGGGTGACTTTCCTACCTGCTATGTTTTATATTAGCAAGGTGCAACCTGATGCCTCTGATACTAACATTATCGCGGGAAGATGAGTGCCTTACAGTCCATCGTCTTTTCGGGCTGTATGAAGGGGCACAAGGGTTATGGCAGGGCGAGGAGGGTCCCCTCAGGGGCCCCCCGCGGCCGTT